CTATACAATTAACAGGTTTAGACAGGGCGCGTAGCCAAATTATTCAACAAAAAATAAGCCCCTTTTAAGCACTTTTCAAGCACTCAAATATTATTTTTAAGCACAGTAAAAAAAATCACAATTAGTTAGGATTGGAAAGTTTTTGATAATTGACGGTTTTATCTGGTTTTAACCGTCATGTCCAAAAAAAAAAAAAAAGAACCTTTNAAAAAAAAAAAAAAAAACAACTTTCGGCACTGTTTTCGACAATTGTCAAAATTTTTGAATCATGTAAATTGAATGGCGTTTTCATACGCCGAAATAGATTGGGGATGAATTAATTGTGAAAACGTTGAATAGAACAATGTGAACAGCGTCTTTCTGCACAATTTGTAGCGAAAATCAACATGATAAAGGAAAAAATCTCATTTTGGAAAAAGGAAGGTTAAGTACTTTTTAAAAATACCCAATGAAAAAAGCACCTTTAAGGGCTTTTAAAAAACGAAAATCAAAAATAAGCACCTTGTTAGAGAGAAGAAAAGAACACAGGTGAATTCCTCCCCCCTCAATAAATAAATGAAATGCCTACAGAATAGACACGCGCGTTATCAATATTCCAAAACATAGAAGAAGAAGAAAAAAGATACATAGTTTGTTTACTATAGATGCAATCGAAGTTTACGTGACAGCCTACCTGATGCATACAGGCCAGGCGTTTTCTTTCTGAAGTCAAACGTCGGCCTTGTCAAGGTGAACGTCCTGCACCTGACGTCATAAAGCAAAGCCCCATTTCTTAGGTACGATGATCTTAAAATGCATCAGGGGAGGATTGTTGTGCGTGTGTTGTGTGTCCTCAATTCTGTTACACGGTGGTATTTGTATCTATCTTATCAAACATTGCCCCCGAATACCGTTGATTACATTAGGGGGCGTCTTTATTCAAAAAAAGGATGGTAAGGAAATTGTAGGACACTCATTTTTTTTTTTATTCTCTAAGATATATATATTTTTTTAATTGTCAAGACATTGTGAACGTCTTGATGAATAATAGAAGTATCTAGGATAAATTTCGCTCGTTAAGGAATTCCACTTCGGGAAGTTCGACGGACGCTGGTTTAAAGTTGTAAATAGTTGTTTGATTATAAGGAGGCTGGACACGTTTAGACATGTCGTTACTTTAAAGAGGAAATTGACAGATTTTCGGTTCATAATTTTGTATATGAAATATAAATCACTTTTAATTTTCAAAAATTAAATACACGGAGAAAACAATTCTGGTAAAATTACTGTATGGTAATGATATTTCTTTAGAAAAAAAACATACTTTTGGTATTAATAACAGAAATATACGGAATTTAAATCATTCCTATGGTAAATTATTCGTTCTCGGTACATCGGAATATGGTAACAGTTTATCGAAAATTCCGGTTTTCAAAAATATATTATCAAACATTTAGTAAAAATGCAAAATTTAACCGAATACATGGTTTTTATGCCTTGCTGTAAGGTACCATGATGAAATTACCAAATTTTACCACATTTAACAAATTCTATCACATATTGTAAAACCATATTGTTAATTGTAACAAAATCATTAACAAAGCGCTTCGGTAAAAATTACCAAGTTCATTGGTGTTTCCATAGAGCCAGAAACACGGAAAATTTTTACCATATTTTGGAATTCTTGACCCTATTTTTTTCTCAGCGAAGAGACTCATTTTGAAACATTTTTAAATTATAATTATCTTTTTTTTTTTAATAAACTTAATTCTTTTTCGAAAGATAGTAAAGTAATATGAGTCGAGATTTCTCAGTGGTTAAGGCACTGGAATGTCATTTTGAAGAACTGGGGTTCGATCCCAGCTAGTGACTTGAAGCCCACCCAGCTTCAGATTGATGGGCCTCAGCTCTAGAAAATAAAAGAGGCAGGTGCGCAATGCTGACAGCATTGCGTTAGTCACTAAATTGTGGAGCCTGAATCTTAATGACCTACTATGGACTTTTGTTGGAATGCTTTTACTTTTACTTAAGTAATATACCTAGCGCACATGATGACACAAAAAGTTTATAATATAATCTTTAATAATTAATCACCTCATTGGGAGGCGAGTGCTCTATCCCCTGAGCCACTGTCGCTTACTAGTGAAATATTAAAAGAATTATAGAATATTTTATGTTTTAAATTAAAAACAGTAAAAAAAAATAAAAAAAAAGCTCATTTGGCCCTTTGGAATTACACCATTAGAATCATTTATTGTTAGAAATTTTGAGCGTATAATATGTAGAATTTCAAGCGCATTATACGCTTAGATTTAGTACAATCTTAATATGGTTCCAAGATGACCAAGATAATTTTCATTTCAGAAATAATTGATTTTCCCCCCCCCCCATAAAACGTCAATTTCTTTGAAATATTATTGCACCAATTTTTTCATGTTTCCTTTTCGATTTTTTATTATAAAAAAATTTGATTACTTACTCTAGCTGTCTTCTTCCGAGGGTATTCGTAATCATCTTCTTCATTAGTGATCGTCGAAAAGTTCAAATTTCTGAAATAAAAGAAAAAAAACCCACGTTAATAAAATTCAGAGCAAAAAATTTCTTTTTTTTTTTTTGTAATAAGTAGTAGAGCATTAAGCTAACTTCCTTTTTAATTTATTGTTTATCAAAAGGTCGTATTAAAAAAAAAACCTTTTTTCAATTCTTAAATATAGGAGAATTATTAAATTAGTAGTCCTTTTCATGAAGTTTATAAAACTGAATTAATTTTAGTCGTTTTTTTGTGATTCTGACAGCTATCATACTTTTTTAAAAGTCAAACCATTTATATTTTTTTAATAAAATCATTTGTAAAAATACACAAATACACAAAAGTAATAAGAAATTAGTATTTTTTTTAAAAAATATTCAAATTTTTCCAACTATATAATTCAAGTGAAGAAATCGAGTAAACAGTTTTTTTTTTTAATTTTTTGAAAATCACGTTAGTTAATTGTGGCCTTTAATGCAGAAAATGCATAACTCAAGAAATATATAATTAATGAGCTTGAAGTTACTCAATGATATGCACATTTTAAAATTGTTTAAATGAGCGTTTTGGGTCAAATTTCTATATAAAGAATAAGATGTTTGTGAACTGTAATCTTATTTATTGTAAGATGAAAATTTCTAAAGCATCTATCTAGAAACAATCCTAAGGTGCAATTTGATGTAAAAATTCCACCTTCAAAAAATATAGATGTGGCTTATATCTTATATCATGCTATTTTCCGTACATCATTGGGTAAAACTCACATGGGTTCAGAGAGCTTAATGTTTTTTAAACCAGTAATGATTTTTGAAACCTGTCATTATGCTTAGATCCAAACATCAAACCATTATTAATTTGATATTTTGGTTAGGTTTATGAAATTATTTAAAGGGTTAGAAAGGATTATTAAAAAAGGATTAGATTTTTTTAAAAATGTTTTCCAAATAACAATAAATTAAAAAATATTATTAAAAAAATAAGCATTTATAAAAAATTGCATTATAATTTCTCACCGAACTTTTCAATTCACTATAAAATGAATAAAATTTATTATTCATTTCTTAAATTTCATTTATTTTCATTTAAATTATGAGGGAGCTCCTGGCTCAAGTAATGGGAGAAATTGGCCTTTGTGAAGGACTTTTTGATGGAACTAACCCGCATTTGCGTTACATGGAGAGGAAAACCACGTAAACCTCCCACGGTTAGCCTAATGGCAAGGGGACTCTAACCCATGATCCGCCTACCCCTGAGGATATTTTACGTCAGCACTGTGGTCGGTGCAAGCAGGATGCGGAATTCGTATCGATCAGCCATCGCTGGGAATCGAACCCGTTTAATCTCATTGGAAGGCGAAGGCTCTATCCCCTGAGCCAACACGGCTCTTACTTTAATTATGATCAAAATAATTTGTAGTTTATGATTACTATTTAATGGTTAGTATATCTACAATTACTCATTTTATTTATTGAATTGGAGTTTCGCCAAAAGATGCTCAATCTTAGTTTCTGTAGCTGTAAAAAATTAGCAAATTTCGATCTAAGGTAATGCACGCTGGACTTAGTCAACTGTGGCAACATAATGACGAAATGTTGCCTTTTTTTTCATATTGGTTCATTTAATCATGCTGGAATAATTCTTATGAATATTATCATCTTTTATTTTTTTTCGAATTAAATATGATTTAAGCTGATAATTCTCGCTGTTAAAAGACCAGAGTATTATTTTTAACGTTAAAATTTACTTTTTAATTTATTACGCTTTAATTATGGCATCGATTTGGCATTAAAAAAAAAGGCATCAAGTTCCTACTGCTGAATGGGAAAACACGTGTTACGATTCCCACATTTCATTTTTCCAAAAACCGTGCGATCCAAAATAATGAGGCCTTACTTTCGAAGATGGTTTACTTTTTGGGGGGATCATGGTAGGTCAGTCAACTGTCATGGTCAGGGTTGATCGACCTGTTTGAGGAAATCACGTCGCCAACAACATCAACAATAAAAAAAAGAAAAACCCTATCTTGTCGAAGCCTTTTTCTCGACTCGGTCTCATTTTGGTGCTAGAGACAACGAACTGAAAAGAGAAATGAACTCGGTAAGTGGGTCATTGTGTTAAAGAAACCACCGCTCCTTCTTGCAATGCTCTTTTTTTTACTTCTTCTTCTTCTTCTCGAGAAAAACGGAGCCGGATGCTGTATTAGTTGCACGTGAGAAATATCTTGTGGTTTTTTGAGGCGAAATGAGGGCTTGCTCGTTTGTTAAATGAAAAAAGAATGAACACCAGTTGAACGAACTGTTTCACATTGCGCGGTTATTTATAATTTTCTGTGAGATCTTGGAAACAGTCTGGCACGGTGTTTTGAATATAATATTTTCCGCCGAAGCCATATTNCCCCCGCATAAAACGACAATTTCTTTAGAATATTATTGCACCAATTTTTTCATGCTTTCTTTTCTATTTTTTATTATAAAAAAAATTTATTACTTACTCTAGCTGTCTTCTTCCGAGGGTATTCGTAATCATCTTCTTCATTAGTGATCGTCGAAAAGTTCAAATTTCTGAAATGAAAGGAAAAAATCCCATGTTAATAAAATTCAGAGCAAAACTTTTTTTTTTGTGATAAGTAGTAAAACATATAGCTAATTTCTCTTTTAATTTATTGTTTATCAAAAGGTTGTATTAAAAAAAAACTTTTTTCAATTCTTAAATAAATGAGAATTATTAAATTAGTAGTCCTTTTCACGAAGTTTATAAAAATGAATTAATTTTAGTCGTTTTTTATTTTTTGTTTATTTTTTTTTATACAAGCCAGTGTCTTAATGTTTAGCATTGTGATTCTGACAACTAGGCACATATTTTTTTAAAAGTCAAACCATTTATAATTCTTTAATAAAATCATTTGTCAAAATACACAAAAGTAATAAGAAATTAGCATTTTTTAAAAAAAATTTCATATTTTTCCAACTAAATAATTCAAGTAAAGAAATCGAGTAAACAGTGTTTTTTTTTTTTTTTTTTTTTTTTTTTTTTTTTTTTTTTTTTTTTTNTTTTTTTTTTTTTTTTTTTGAATTTTTTGAAAATCACGTTAGTTAATTGTGGCCTTTAACGCAAAAAACGGATCAACTCAAGAAATATATAATTAAAGAGCTTGAAGCTACACAATGATATGCACATTTTAAAATTGTTCAAATGAGGGTAAAATTTCTATGTAGAGAATAAGATGTTTTCGTGAACTGTAATCTTATTTATCGTAAGCTGAAAATTTCTAAAGTATCTATCTAGAAACAATACAAAGGGGCAGTTTGATGTAAAAATTCCACCTTCGAAAAATAAAGATGTGGCTTGTATTTCATGCTATTTTCCGTACATCATTGGGTAAAACTCATATGGGTTCAGAGAATTTAATTTTTTTTTAAACCAGTAATGATTTTTGAAACCAGTCATTATGTTCAGATCCAAACTACAAAACATTATTAATTTGATATTACGGTTAGGTTTATGAAATTTTTTAAGTAAACTAACCATAAAAAAAGAAGTAGAATTTTTAAAAAAAAAATTATTTTCCAGTAACAATATATATTTAAGAAATTATGAAAAAATTAGCATTTATAAAAAATTGCATAATTATTTCTCATCGAACTTTTCAATTCACTATAAAATTAATAAAATGTATTATTCATTTCTTAAATTTCATTTATTTTCAGTTAAACTATGAAAATAATATGCATTTATAAAAAAAATTTGCATTATTATTTCTCCTCAAACTTTTAATAAAACTTATCATTCATTTTTTTAAAATATCATTTAAATTTAAATTATGAAAAGAATATGCACGCATAAAAAATTGCATTATTATTTTTCATCGAACTTTTCAATTCAATATAAATCCTAGAATAAAGAATTATGTTTCTTTGAAAACCATTTTCATCGTTTAGAACAGTTCTTTTTCGAAAACCATAAATCAGCCTACTTTATTCGTTTTCAGCTTATACGCGTACACCAAAAACAAATTCAGAACTGTTCTAGATGTCTCTCCAGGCCTGCAAATTCAACTGTTTGACATAAAACCTATTATTATATATAATAAATAATATTATAGATAATATTTATTATATATTATAGATAAAATGATGATTGATTAAATTTCATTCTTTACATTAAATATTTTATTTTTTATTTTACAACCGTCGTTGAACAGCCGACCCAATTTTTGGGTTTACGACTAAAGATGTTCAACTCCGTAGCCTTGTAATTGAACCTAATGCCTGGTTCAATTACAGGGAACTCCTAGATCAAGTATTAGGAGAAATTTACCTTCGTAGAGGTCTTTTTGATGGAACTAATTCGCATTTGCGTTACATGGAGAGGAACACCACTAAAACCTTCCACGGTTAGCCTAATGGCAAGGGGACTCTAACCCATGATCCACCTACCCCTGAGGATATTTTACGTCAGCACTGTGGTCGGTGCGAGCCGGATGCAGAATTCGTTTCGACCAGCCATCGCTGGGAATCGAACCCGTTTAATCTCATTGGAAGGTGAAACCTCTATCCCTTGAGCCATTAAGGCTCTTACACTAATTATGATCAAAATAATTTGTAGTTTATTAGTATTATTTCATGGTTAGTATATCTACAATTACTCATTTTATTTATTTAATTAGAGTTTCGCCAAAAGATGCTCAATCTTAGTTTCTGTAGCCGTAAAAAATTAGCAAACCCTGATCTAAGGTAGTGCACATTGGACTTAGTCAACTTTGGCAACATTGCTGGAATAATTCTTATGAATATTATCTTTTATTTTTTTTCGAATTAAATATGATTTAAGCTGATAATTCTCGCTGTTAAAAGACCAGAATATTATTTTTAGCATTAAAATTTACTCTTTAATTTATTACGCTTTAATTATGGCATCGATTTAGCATAAAAAAAGCATCAAGTTCCTACTGCGGAATGGTAAAACACGTGTTACGATTCCCACATTTCATTTTTCCAAAAACCGTGCGATCCAAAATAATGAGGCCTTACTTTCGAAGATGGTTTACTTTTTTGGGGGATCATGGTAGGTCAGTCAACTGTCATGGTCAGGGTTGATCGACCTGTTTGAGGAAATCACGTCGCCAACAACATCAACAATAAAAAAAAGAAAAACCCTATCTTGTCGAAGCCTTTTTCTCGACTCGGTCTCATTTTGGTGCTAGAGACAACGAACTGAAAAGAGAAATGAACTCGGTAAGTGGGTCATTGTGTTAAAGAAACCACCGCTCCTTCTTGCAATGCTCTTTTTTTTACTTCTTCTTCTTCTTCTCGAGAAAAACGGAGCCGGATGCTGTATTAGTTGCACGTGAGAAATATCTTGTGGTTTTTTGAGGCGAAATGAGGGCTTGCTCGTTTGTTAAATGAAAAAAGAATGAACACCAGTTGAACGAACTGTTTCACATTGCTCGGTTATTTATAATTTTCTGTGAGATCTTGGAAACAGTCTGGCACGGTGTTTTGAATATAATATTTTCCGCCGAAGCCGTATTGAAATTTTAATGTCGGGGTATGTCATCAAGAAATATTGATATTTCTCGATACTTTTTCGATTTTAAAAAGTGGTGACTTGTTCGTTTGTTAAATGAAAAAAGAATGAACACCAGTTGAACGAACTGTTTCACATTGCGCGGTTATTTATAATTTTCTGTGCCATTTTGGATCTGCATGTCATTAAGTTTCTATATAAAAATAGGAATGTTAAATTTTGCAGTGCTACAATTCTTCCAAAATATGAAATTGCTATTAAATGAACGGCGATATCATAATTTTAATTACCATGATGGATTATAAGAAAAAATCAAAACTTAACAATCTATCGCGATATTTTTACTATTTAACTAAATTCTTTTTTTTAATTGGCCATTATTTTTGTTACCAAAATGAAATTTATCAACAATCATTATATTATCGTATTCGATTAATATCTTTATCGATAATGGTTACGATAATATCGTATTTGATATTTATTGCCAATTATAATAACAATGTTATTGTCGTCAGAAATTATACCGATATTATCCTTGTTGTAATTATCATACATACGGTATTTATCGTTAAGACACTATATACGATATATGTTTATTACGAAAATATGCTTTAAAAAATTGTTATCGCGATGTTTAAAAATATATCAATCACCCCACCAGACGTCATTAATTGGTTAATTTATTGGAAGAATTAAAAAAAATAGCAAAATTACAAAACTACAGAATTTATCTATCATGTATTTAAATCCAAAAATTTAAATGATTGAAATTAAAAAAAACAACAACTTAGCATGATCTTCTAGAAATATCATAATTAATGTATGTTGTACCATAAAGATAATTTTGAACTCAAAATTCGCAATAATAATTATTTTTATTTTAGATATTGCAGTACTAATACTGATTGAATGTATCAAATGTACGTCTTACAAACCAATTATATTAATGCGTCGGATACTGATATAAAAATGGTTTCAAATTGAACGAATCATTTAAATAGTACTTGTTAGTTCTAAACTCAATAGCGATATCAACTTGCTAAATTTGCAGCAAATATTATTTATATTACGGTAAAACGTATAATTGTAATGGTTCAATGCAGGGATGTGGTTCTACGTACACATATATCAAGCTTTTAAATTTTTCGAATTCACGAGTCTCGTTCCAACTTCCTCTAAACTCGTTAAAGATATCAATTTAATAAATTTGCAGGCAATACCATCTATATTATGGTAAAACATAGAATTATAGTACCGCGTAGATAATTCAGTTAGTTCTACATACATATGTTACGGTTCAATAAGTTTTTTAAACTCATGGAGTTCGGTTCAAGCTTGCTCCAAAACTCTGTTAAGGATATCAACTTGCTAAATTTGCAGCAAATCCCATATGGTAAAACATAGAATTATAGTGGTTCAATGCAAAGGTATTATGGTTCTACGTGCATGTATANGCATTATGGTGCATCATATGTATGGTTCTATCAATTTTTCAACATTATACAATAATGGAGAGGGGAAACGGATGCAGTTTAAAATAAAATATCGTCTGTTCAAAATGCAATTTTTGGTAAGTGTTTAATTTGAACCCTATAATAATGGATGACGGGGGTGGGGGGTGGAGATTAGATTCACGTTTAAACATTATATCGTTCATATGAACTGTAATCTTTGCAAAGCATTTCGTTTATACCCCATAATCATGAAAAATAGGTAATGAACTTCTATTTCTTACCCGATAATACGGTTCAACATGTCATGTTGAATCAAACGTGAATGGCTAAAACGGTTCAATGTACAATCAATATGGTTGTTCAACGTTAAAAACCACTTGTTTTTAAGTCACATAACTACAGATAACCGATTTGAAACAGTTTCCACCATGTTCTCTTATCTCGACATACATTAGCATAATATATAAAATGGAATTTAATTAACAACCGCACATGTTCAGATGTCTGTAACCCTTATAGAATAGTGGCGCGGGTGTGTTTTTTTACGAGGTCCACGACCTACCTTACCTCGTCCTTTAACC